CAGAAAGAAGGGCAATTTTGGGGGCGCTGGAGGTGGATCCAGAACCATTAGTGCCGATCAGGAACACCATTCCAGGGACTTAGTTTTTTACTGTGAGCCACCGTTGGGTCCACTTTTGAAGGGCGCCAGTCCTGCCGTGATATTGTGATTTAGAGTAAGAAATAAGAAATATATACACATTTTTAAGATTTTATTTTTAAGTAATCTCTACACCCAACGTGGGGCTTCAACTCACAACCCCAAGATCAAGAGTCTCATGCTTTACCAATCGAGCCAGCCAGGTGCCCCCTCATTTTAAAAAAATTATTACAAGTAAAACCCAGAAAGGACAGTGTTCAGAAAACTCCTAGTGATACACCTGGGTGGCTCAGTCAGTTAAGCATCTGCGTTCGCCTCAGGTCATGATCCCAGGTTAGGGCATCAAGTCCTGCATTGGGCTCCTTGCTCAGCAGGGAGCCTGCTTCTCCCTCTCCCTCTGTCCCTCCCCCTGCTTGTGCGCTCTCTCTGACAAATAAATAAATAAAATAAAATTAAAAAAAGAAAAGAAAAAAACCTCTTAGCTTGGTGATGTAAAAATCAACAAGAGTAAACCCTGTTTAGAATGGAATGGAGAGGCAAGCATGGGGAGCTCTCACGCCCTACCACTTGTCAATTGCAGACCCAACAAAAGAGACTTGCTTCCCAAGGAGATACACTTTACCACTTTACTACCCCAGCAGGAGGAAGAAAATTTTCCTTCTGCCCCTAGCAACAGCCCAGCCAATGAGAAACCGTCACAACTCAGCCAATGAAAAGTCCCTATATTTTGAAATCCTAGTTTACTCCAATGGCTTTTTTGTTTATAGTGGCCCCTCCCAACTTCCCTCTATAAAAAAGCCCAGCTCTTGTTTGTTATCAGGACTTCCTGTAGTTTTTTACTGACTTTCTTGTTCCGGACTGCGATTCTCCGCTCTTCCCAAACAAACCCAATTTTGCTGGTAGAATAACTGGCAGTTTTATTTTTAAGGTTAACAGTGAACACGTGGAGTTGCTCCGGGAGAGCGCAGAAGCTCCCAGCCTTTTCTCCAAACTTTGCCCCGCGCATCTCTTCCGTCTGGCTCTTCCTGAGTTATAACCTTTTATAACAAACTAGTAACCTAGTAAGTAAAATGTTTCACTGAGTTCTGTGAGCTGCTCTAGCAAGGTAATGGCACCTGAGGAGGATATCTTTAATTTATAGCCAGTTGATCAGAAGTACATTTGGCCCTAAACAACGTGGGCACTGACTCCCCACGCAGTCAAAAATCCTTGTATAACTTTGGTCTCCCCCCAAACTTAACTAATAAATAGCCTACGGTTGACTGGAAGCCTTCCTGATGACATAAACTGTCAATGAACACATATTCTGTGTGTTACACGTTATGATGTGCTGTATTCTTAAAATGAGGTAGGGAAAATTCGATTAAAATAATAAGGAAGAGAAAATACATTTATAGCACGTTACCCATGTACGTGGACGTGTGCAACTCAAACTCGTGTTGTTCAAGGGCTAGCTGTATAGCTAGCAACCTGGACTTTGAGGCTGGAGTCTGAAGCATGGGGCAGTGTTGTAGGACTGAACCCCTAGCCTGTGGAATCTGATGCTGTTTCCGAGTAGATAGTGTCTGAATTGAGTTCAGTCCAGTCGTAGGACCCACAGCTGGCCTCCAGAGCATGTTTTTTTGGTGTAGGGACCCCCGTCTGCAAGCAAACACACATGGGAGTATGTACCAGAATCAAAGACCAGCAAACTCCCCAGAATGATGGCTCTGTCGCTCCTTGGTTTGTGTTCCCAGATCTGGGGAGACTCTGGAGGGTCAGGGAGCACTGACATTGTGCACATGTATGGATGACATTTGCTGGAGGGTGGCACTCACCTGATGGGAGACATTAGCCGAGTGCCTGCTGAGACTGCCCTCCTTAAGCCAAAGCGAGTGGAGATGTCAGAGCAAAGCCAGATATTTTTCCTGGGGACGTGTAGATATCAAGTCCCTAAAGATCCCCAGATGTCTCATCACACCTGGAATAGGAGCTAAAGAGTTAACTTTTGCTATTTTAAGCTCATGGCTTTTTAAAAAAGATTTTATTTATTTATTTGAGAGAGAGCCCTCGAGCAGTGGGGGAGAGGCAGAGGGAGAAGCAGACTCCTGGCTGAGCAGGGAACCCAACCTGGAGCTCGATCCCAGTACCCTGGGATCATGACCTGAGCTGAAGGTAGACACTAAACCGACTGAGCCACCCAGGCGCCCCTTGCTCATTATGGATTTTTTTTTCTTTTTTTTTTGCATTGATTTTGATTTGTAAAAAATATAGCATTAAAATATCATTTATCTTGATTACTTCCTTTTAAAACTAAAATTTTGCATCCAAGCTAGTGCCTCACTTGCCTCATCCTAGTCCTGGTCCTGGCTGGGGAGTTGAAGTGTGAGTTCCTGGAAGGTGTTAAGCCCAGGATTAGAGAAAGTATAAGCACCACTCTGCCTTGGGGTGTGGTATTGGACTTCATGGCTTCTTTATGGTTCTGTTTGGTTGCATTCTGAAAAACATTGCATGCTTTCCCTGGAACAGCCCCTGTTCCAGGTGCTGGGAATACAGATATGCACAAACCTTGGTCCCTTCTCTAAAGATTAATATAGAGTGGGGTAGGGTGGGAAGCAGGCCAGTACCATGTGGTCCGTGCACTGTCAGAGGTAGCCCAGAGTGATGTGGAGAACAGAGAGACCCCAGACCCAGCTTGCAGGGGGTGGGGGTTGGGATCCTATGGGAACCTTTGGTATACTTGAAGGATGAGCTGTCATTGACCAAGCTTCAGGAAGAGGGAACAGTGTGATCACGGGTTCAGAGGCAAGAACCTATGTGGTTGAGCAGGAAACAAGTAGTTCAACGTTGTTGAAGCATGTACTTTGGGCAGGGGTGTGGTAGTGAATGATAAAGCTGGAGAGGTAAGTGGGGCAGGACCATGAGGAGCTTTGGAAACCCTATTAAGGAGCTCTGACTTTATCCTACACGAAGGGGGGAGTTATTGAGGTCTTTGAAGCAGATGGGGAACATGAGACTTACTAATGTGAAGATTAAAGCTTTGCCTTAAATAACCTACCTAAAAAAATAGCATATAGGGTTCCTTTTTCTCCACACTCTTGCCAACATTTGTTATCTTTGGTCTTTTTGATGAAAGCCATTGTTATAGGTCTGAGGTGATCTCTCATTGTGTTTTGATTTGTATTTTCCTGATGATGAGTGATGGTGAGCATCTTTTCATGTACGTATCGGCCATCTGAATGTCTTCTTTGGAAAAATGTCTATTCAGGCCTTTTGTCCATTTTAATATTGGATTATATGTTTTTCTGCTATTGAGCTGTATTAATTTTTTATATATATTTTGGTTATCAGTCCCTTATCAGATATTTGCTTTGTGAATATTTTCTCCCATCTTGCCTTTTCAATTTATTGATTGTTTCCTTTGCTGTGCAGAAGCTCTTTCTTTAGTTTATTATAGTCCCAATTGTTTATTTTAGGTTTTGTTCTGGTGTCTTACCCAAGAAATCATCACCAAAACCCATGTCAGGGATTTTTTTTTTCACCTGTGGTTTTTTTTCTAGGAGTTTTGTGGGTTTAGGACTTATATTTGAATCTTTGATCCATTGCAAGTTAATTTTCTTGAGTAGTATAAGATAGGACTCCTAGGTATATATACAAAAGAATTGAAATTAGACTCTTGGAGAGATATCTGCACACCCATGTTCCCTGCAGCATGCTTAACAATAGCCAAGACATGGAAGCAACCAAAGTGTCCATCAACAGATGAATGGATAACGATAGTAATCTTTAGAGAAGGGACAAAGTTTTATGTATATCTGTGTTCCTAGCACCAGGAATAAAGATTGTTCTAGGGAAAGTGTGCAATACATGTTTTTCAGAGTGCTACCAAACTGAACCATAAAGGAGCTGTGAAGTCCAACACACATACACACACACAGGAATATTATTCAGCCATGAGAAAGGAAGTCCTGCCATTTGCAACCTTGAAGGCATCATGCTACGTGTAGTAAGTCAAACAGAGGAAGACAAATACTGTAGGATATCACTTCTGCGTGCAATGTAAAAAAGCTGAACTTATAAAACAGAGAGTAGAATGGTGATTACCAGGGCCCGGGAGTGATGAGATTTTGTACTACCTTAGGTTTCTCTTGAGAAAATAAGAATTCATCCTTACTACTCGGGGACGTCTTTCCCTCAGAACAGTTTCGTGGATTTCTGTTTCTGTTCTCTGCCCTGTTTTTCAAATGAATCTAAGCCTGCTGGCCTGACAACTGCATGGGCTTGACCTGCAAAGCCCCTTCTCACTTGGCTGTCTCTGCATAAAGTATTGATGTTTCATTTTTTTTCATTAATTTTTTTTTTCTGTTTAAGAAACACATTCTTCTTTTTTAAAAATTTCAATTCCGGTATAGTGAACATACAGTGTTATATTAGTTTCAGGTGTGCACTATAGGGATTCAACAATTCTGTACATTACTCAGTGCTCATCATGATAAGTGTGCTCTTCATCCCCATCACCTGTTTCTCCCATCCTCCCACCCACCTCCTCTCTGGTCACCGTCAGTTTGTTCTCTGTCGTCGAAAGTCCGTTTTTTGGTTGGTCTCTTTTTTTCCCCTTTGTTCGTTTGTTTTGTTTCTTAAATTCCACATATTAGTGATGTCCGTTGCTTATTCTTTCGCCCATCGTGCTGATGTTACTATGAAATGGGTCCCCCAAAAGGGGTCCTGAAGGCTAAATATGGAGGCAGAGCCCCTTGGGACCCTTGTCTCCTTGGGTCCCCTCATGGCCACCATTTAAGGAAAACCCTGTCAACTGTTTCTCACAGCCAGAGGCCTTTCTCAACAGAAGGGAACACAGCCCTGCCATGTCCATCGGCGTCCCTGACACAACGCCTCTCTCGTGCTTTCCTTCGTAAAGATGGCTGCCTGTGTTTTCATTGCAGAGCTCCTCAGACAAGGAGTCCATCCTGACCATCCTCCAGGTTCTTGGAGATCTGCTTTCTGTTGGTGAGTAGGAGGAGGTAGGGGCGGGTGGCTGTGGTGTCTCCTGGAATCTGGTGGGGCTGGGGGATGGCGGTGGGGGTGCTCCAGTTCAGGTTTTCTCTCAGAGACAGAATCAGCAGCCCATCATTTTCACTGAGATTCATAAGACCCCAGAGTAAAGTGGGCTGGTTGTACCTCAGACTTAGTCAGGTTTCTTTAGTCTTGTCACCCACCCTACGGTGACCCAAACTTAGGAGGAGGTTCTGCTCTGGGTGGTTTCTCATCTATGGTATCTCATCTGTGGTCAACCCAAGGTCCTCCAGGGGTCTGTGGCTGTCCTCAGAGCGAGCTAGCCCTCGTGACTCTACCCCTCCCCTTCCTCTACTCCCCTCCGTTGGCCCATTTAGAGAGCCAGGTATTGGCAACTTCCCAACATATGTCAAGTGAAGATGGGAATATGAGGCAGGAGCTTGACTTCGTGGTGTGGTGAGCTATTAAGTCTTCAGAGAAAAGGTGACAGAATTCACTACACTGGAATCAACTAGTTAACTGGGGCATCCCTCTGCTACCTCACTTCAGTGTGAGGGTTCTGGAAAATAGACCTTTTTGGACATTTCAGCATTCACTCAGTTTTCGTTTCTACGTATGCCAGCCACATTGCATTAGGAAGAAATATTTACATCAGACAACACCAAAGGGAATGTCATTCCAAAGCCAAGACGCCTCCCATTTCAGTTCCAGGAGGGAGGGTCCCGTCCTAGTGAGGTTTTCCCATAGGCTGTGCTGCCCTCCGATGGCAGGGTGACTTCCCTGCAGGCTTCTGAGTGTGGTACCCTGTGGAGGCGAAGCCTCTTGTCTTCTGGGATGGTGCCTCCTTCACTTTGTCCAGAGGTGCCTGGAGCCCTTGGAATGAAACCCTGGAGTTGTCCCTCTGATGTAGGTGCTGATTATTGCTCCCATAATAGAGGATGAAACGCCAGAGGGTCTTCTTTGCTGATAATGTCCCACCCTGTGGGCCACCTTGTTAGATCAACCAGGTGCAGTGTGTGGACAATCACTGGGGTCCCCTTCCAAGTTGAAATGTAATCCCTGCTTTTGAGCTTGTCCTGGGGCAAGGTGGGGGAGGTCCCTGTTCACAACTGTTAGGTAGAAAGACCAATATACCTGATCCTAGCTCCAGGCCCTTTTCAAAACTCCTGACACGGATGAGTGGATGTCTGTTTCTTAAAGAAGCACGCTAGCTATTTCCATATATTCCTCCTGTTGGTTACTGGAGGCCAGCACCATAAAACTGTTATATCATCAATTAAATTATTCCAGACAAACTATCATCCCAATCCCGGTTACAGAGGATTCAAGCCTATACCAGAGGGATACTGATATTCCCTCTTCTATTAAGGATATGATTCTAGGTAAGCCTATATTCCTGTTTATGTACATATGTACAAGTACACATATGTACAGCAAGACTCCACAGGTTCTCAGGGAAAGTGGATTCCATTTATTACAGCTGCTGCAGGTGAACACACCTAGGTTCTTAAATATTCCATTATTTCTCCATCTCACCCCCACCCCAATCCTTTACCTAAAAGCACAGCTTTATACAGGTTCCTTCAGAAACCACACAATTTTGGTTTCTGGGGCAAATGAACTGCTCTGTGCTCTGTCTCTGTGGGGTCTGCTTTCTGTGCCAAGGAAATGAAGGTGATTATTCGGGGCCTCGCTCTCCTCTGCTTTCTCCCTCAGGCACCGACCGAAGGATTCGCTACATGATCAGTAAAGGGGGCAGCGAGGCCCTTCTGCAGACCCTGGTGGACACAGCCAGGACAGATTCTCCAGACTATGATGTCCTCCTGCCCCTCTTCCGACTGCTGGCCAAAGTTGGCCTACGAGGTACCCACACCCCCCCGGTTCTAAAGATGGCTGAAAAGGCACTCGCGGGGTTGTTATCATGAGAGCAATTTGGGAAACTCTTGTGGGGATGTGCAGGGAGGTCCTAGACACTTTGGTGGTGGTGCCAGGACCAGCCCCACAGGAGAGGTCATTTTGTTGTCCTGGACGTCAGCAAATCCAAGGTGCTGTGCTAGGGCGGGGCCTTGAGCAGGTGCAGGCTGCAAGGGGCATGGAGCAGATGAGGGACAGAGGGGAGGTGCTCCCAGGCAGATTTCAATCACTCTAACAATAAACAGAACATTTCTATGAACAGAATCTTACACGGAAGCTCATTATATAAGTGCATGAGTTTCCTGGGGCTGCTATAACGAATTATCACAAACTGTGTGGCTCCAAACAACAGAAATGTATTCTCTTACAGTTCTGGAGGCCAGAAAGTCTGAAACGAGGGTGTCGGCAGGGTTGTTTCCTTCTGGAGGCTCTTTGGGAGAATCTGTTCCATGCCTCTCTGCTAACTTCTGTGTTTCCAGCCGTCCTTGGCGTTTCTTGGCTTGTAGACACGTCACTTCCATTTCTATCTGCGTCTTCATGTGGTGTCCTACTCTGTGTCCTTCTGTGTGTCCTCTCCTTCTTACAAGGACATTGGTCACTGGATTTAGGGCCCATGCAAATCTGTGTGACCTCACCTTAAATAATAAATCTGCAAAGACCCCATTTCCAAATAAGATAACGTCTGAGGTTCCAGGTGGACATGAATTTTGGGGAGGGGGGCAAATTTTCAGCCTTTTACTGTAAGCCACATGGAAGCGGAGCTTCCCTAGTAGAAGGGAAGATGGGAGCCTAGAACTCTTTCTACCATACCCATTTCTTTTTGCTCGAGAAGACCCCGAAACACCTCCCTAAAACCTTAGAACTTCTTGGTGCACAGTTTAAAAAGCCTGCGCACTCAGGATGCATGCAACCCTTGCAAACTAGTTATAACAGTCAAGCTCCAGTTGTGGGAGGTCTTATATAAATCATAGTGGGGAAGCTCAGGCGCTGCAGAAGGTGGACCTGTGCTGTCCAGTGTAGGCAGCGGCGGCCACAGGGGAGCAGGGGCTCAGGGACACTCTGACCTTGCATTGTCTGAATCTCTGCTTTGAGTCCATTCAGCTCCACAAGTCACGACCAAGACCCAGGCATCAGCCAGCACCCATGTGAGTGTGTTCTTGACAAAACCAATACAATCCAGTCATTGAATATTCAGCCAGGGATTTACCACATGTCTCCTGGGGCTGGGCACAACGCTAGGCGTTGGGAACACTGGTGACCAGGGCAGGTAAGGGGCCCACTCTCATGGAACTTACCTTCAAGTGGGGAAGGGCAGAAAGTGAATAATTCACTAGGCAATAGCAGAGTATGATAATTAGCTAGTAGCTGTGAGGGAAAAGAAAAAGGCTGATGTTCCTCCAAGATGGTGTGGTCAGGGAGAGGTGACATGTGAGCCAACACTTGAAGGGTTGTACCCTGGTTGTAAATAGTATAAACTGGGAAATCAAATCTGAGTTTCAGGCCTGGCCCTGACACTAATTAGCTGTGCACCCTAGGGCAAGTTATTTACCCTTTCTGAGCCACTGGTCCCTCATCTACAAAATGAAGGTATCAGTCCTTAATTCTAAGGTTGCTGTAAGGATTAAGTGAGGTTGTATGATACCTGCTTAGCATGTGGGGCCTGACAAACTAGAGTCATGTAGGTTTCATAGAAGAGAAAGAGATGCAGGATGGATCATGGCCCTGATTCCCAAGCTCTGGACCTGGATAGTACTACTGACATTATTATATCACTGCAGCTTCTGCCATCCCCAGATTGTAGCCCTCACCACTGCCATGCAGGCTGCCGGGGGCTGACCCAAACAGGACGGAAATGAGGTTGGCAGCTCAGGAATGGAGCCCAATAGACGCCTCTGTTCTGGTGAAGGGATCCGGTCATATTAGTTTGGTTGCCATCTTTTGTTGGTGTCCTTTGGTCTAGAGGTGGATATTGGTAAACCAGGTTTAGGATATTGTCTCTGTTTTACTCATGTCTACCTGCAGTGAGTCTGATAGCAATTCAGGAAAATTACAGATAGAATTTTGCTCTTAAATATGTTCGAATGCATTTCTTTGAAAAGAGACATTTTCCTGTATAATCCTGATACCACGATTACAAATCTAACAAAATTAACAATACTTAACATTTAAAATTACTGTGTAATTTATACTCATTTCAATTTCTCCAAATGTTTCCCAATGGGGCAATTACAGACGTGTTCAAAGAAGGATCCAATCAAGTTCCACACATTGCATTTGGATGTTATGTACCTTAAGTATCCTACATTCCAGAACTATCTTAAAGGAAGAAATTTACACCCTACTAAACTGTAGTTCACGTTTGAGGGCAGCCAGAAACACGCTCACATACAGGGTGTGTGAGTCCTACAGTCCACAAGGCCTCGTGTAAATATTACTTGAGGAATGAATGGACCCTATGTATACCCTGCCTTAGCTCTTCTGGGCCATCTGGTTCCAATGGGGACATACTTAGTAGCATTTTCCGGTAGATTGGAAAAGTCACATTGGCTATGATCATTCTCTTGCCTGTTCCATCTTTGCCTTCCTGTGCCCCATGCATTGTACAGCCTTCAGAATTAATGTGAAACACAACTAAGATGGATTGATTTATATTTCTAGATAAAAAGTTTGGACAGAAGGCACTAGAATTGGAAGCACTCGATGTGACATTGATTCTGGCCAGGAAAAACCTGTCCCACAGCCAGAACCTCCTTCACTGTCTCTGGGCTCTGCGTGTGTTCACCTCTAGTGGTAAGTGCCTCAAATTGTGGCTCTCTGGGGTGGCTTCCAGACCGGGCCGGGACACCTAGAAACCATTTAGGGGCTGGGGTTGGAAGGAGGGTCTGGGTGGAGGATAGATGTTGTCCCAACAAGACAAATAAGTCTACAAGGAGCCTCACATTCTAGAGGCTGTAGAGGTAAAAAGTGCTTTCTTTGTCTCTTCTTCATCCAGGTAGAACTCTTGAGCTCATTCCTGAAGTTAGATGTCAGTCTTGTTTTCCCTTGGGAACCACACATTATAGTATTCTAGGTCTCTCTATTAGTACTACAGGGTGAAAAAAGACCCATGGCAGGAGAGAGCATAGGGCTTTATTTAGGCCTTATCATATTCAAGGCATAGGGCAATGTCAAGAACGACCCTCACATCACAGATCTCCCTGCTATGTCCCCGAAGTTGCCTGTTGATCACAGCACCCTTTACTAAAACATCTTTACCTTGTTTTATCTCTCAGTGCTTCTCAACATAGTCCTTCAGGTAACTAGATGCATCATAGCACATGGGTTCATACTTATTTGCTGTCTCCTGATTTGGATTATTTCAGATTATCATAACAATCCTATATCTACATTTACCATTTTATAGCCAAGAAGAGGAAAATGAAGCTTGGAAGAGAGAAACAATTACTTGAGTTTATAGACAAGTTTGGGGGCTGAGTTTCTAACTCCAGAACTCATGTTTACTCTCCATATGGGGACACTTGCTATGAACAGAGTAGATTCTGTACCTCCCATCTCACATAGAATGGGCACAGACTTTATTTCTCTTTTCTGAGCCCCTCTCCTGCACAATGAAAGTGATGTAATGCTCTCTAGAGGAACGAACATGGCTTAGAACCAGGAATACCTGGGTTCGACTTTGATTTCATTCCTTGGGAGTCCTATGGCATGGGTACTTAACCTGTTTACCTCAGTTTCTTCCTTTATAAAATTATAGTGGTTAATAAGAGCTCCTAGACTTGGTAGATGGGATAAGTGAGATGATGTTCATGGGTATGTCTGTCACATTGTAGTTGATCAATTAGTTTTCTTCCCTGCTCTATTCTTTTCCCTTAGTCCTTTGAAATAATGGGAAAAGCACACCTAAGAGGAGTGAGGAGGTGACTTTTCCCCCTAACTATCCTAAGAACTACTAAGATACTTAGTGGGGTCCTATTTCATTGGTTAATTCCATTAATAACCATGGAGGACCCATAAACATAAAGTATTTTCAGGAAAAAACAAGATAGGTCCTTGACTCCATGTTCATGGACAGAACCTCCTCCCACACTCATATATGTTGACCAGAAAATCAGAGAATGTTTGGGAGAGGCTGAAAAGATCTGTACAAACCCATCTTTAATTAAGGAAAACCCAAGTGAGGAGCTGTGGCTTTGTGTAAAGGACAACTGTCATTAATGAGCAGCCGGAGGGTGAGCCACCCTCCTTGGAGCTTGCCAGCAGCAGAAGATTCGAAGTATCTCATTTTAGTTTCCTAAAGAACAATTAGGCTGAATAACTTACCTTTCTTATTATATATATTGGTTATAGAAGTCTTGAGGAATTCCTTTTAGCAAGGAGCTCTAAAAAATGTTGGGAGTTGCCTGCAGGTATGAGGAGGTGGCCATTTGTCTCATATTCTAAGACTACATTTATTGTCCCAATGAATTGTTCCCTAAAGGTTATTTTAGAATTTATACTATCACTATACATTGACTTCACTGATGAGAAGCAAGCAGAGTTCACAAAGTCTGTGGATTGATTGCTGTCTCTTTGGTGAATTGTTAGCCACTGTTGAATGTTCCAGAAAGCTTTCTAAACAGCTCCTATCTGCGGAAGGAGTTGGCTGGAGCCATAGTGGGGCTGCCACAGCCAATGAACCCTTTGGCAGCTCTCTACCGGCCAATGGGGATGTTGATGGAGCTGCCAGAGGTCTGACCTTGGGTAGGGAGCCAGCAAGGAAGAACTCAGCAGGGTGTGTGTGTATGTGTGTGTGTGTGTGTGTGTGTATGTGTGTAGGGGTAGTTCTTATTGTTCCCATCTAAAATCCCATCCGTCACCTTCCTTGCCAAGGGCCACTCAAAATCTAAATTCCAAGTCTAAAGTCTTCCATGTTAGAATCTGTGCTCCTAAAACTATTTTGTCCCTAATGCTACTTAAGACTAGAATTTTGCTGAATGATTTGCCAAGAGATTGCTCCAGCATGTTTTTCCAGTTTAGAAATAAAGAACTGAATTAGTAGCCATGAGAGTGGAAGATTGATGGGCAGGACTAGGATGCCAAATCTCTGAATTTTGATACAGGCTGCCTGTACCAGCCTCAGGAGGGACATATGCATAGAGGATGTTCCAGGAACACGCAGTCTCTGTAATCACTAAGACATCAGCCTCAGTCTCTCTCTGGTGGACTGTACTGGGATGAACTATATTAGAGCCCTCAGATTTCCATCTATCCTTCTTTCCCGAGGCTTGGAGCAAGCCAGGATAAGCCTCCCTTGTTTCTCTCTCTTTGTTTCTCCATGACTCCCTTGCTCCCACTCATATTTCCTGGAACAAGGCTGGCCCAAAGCACAAGGCATTCCTAGGCCTCGATTTCAGCACCCCCCCCATTACGGTGGAGGAAAGAGACAAGAGAGTCCCACCATGGAAAATCCCTTCTTTCCTTCTTTCCCTGAAACTTCTGCCCCCTTCCAGACTGATTCCATTTTGTCTCTTGGAGGCACCCCTTATTTTTTTGACATGACCAGAGCTCTTCCTAAAGTGAGCTGAGTGGAGCAAGGAACTGGGGATGCTGCAGAGAAGCCAGGACATCATTGGAGATGAGTGTGACGTCCAGAGCTTTTGGGTCCAGAATTTGTATCTGAAGCCACTGGGCTGACCTGATACCCTTACTGGTTATTTTCTGTCATTCAGATCTATGGCTCTCTCTCTCTCTCTTTTTTTTTTTTTAAATAACCATCCAGTTGGGCAAAAAGGCAAAAATTTCCCAGGCTATTGACCTCTGAGGAGGAAGAATTGATTCTTCCCTGATGTGCTAGTAGATGGGGGCACAGTTAAGTCTGAGACTCAGTCATGGGAGATCCAACTACGAAAGCTGTCGGGGAACTTGGAACCAGGGTGCAGAAGAAAGGGGGCTGCCTTCTTTATTAGCTTGCCCCTAAAAGTTTTAAAGGAGTCAGTCCAAGTTGGATTGAACCTTAACCCATCCACCCATGACCTTTCTTCATTGTGAAGTCTCCAAATGGCAGAATGAGTCTAAGGAACTATCTTGTAAGATACTGGCAGTGTATGTGTGTGTGTGTGTATGCCCTTGTGTGTGCCTGAGTGTACGTGTGCGTGTGTGTATGTATCATGGGGGAAGTTGATGGTGAGTGAAAGCACTTGAATTGAAACTTAAAGATCTACTTTCAGAAAAATCTGCTTGGCATTTGCTTTGACTATTCTGAGTAAGAATACAATGAAGAACATACTTTCATGGCTTGGGCCCCCTTTGAGAAGATTGTATGAAAAGAGAATATATGCTTTACAGGTGATCTTTGCTTCCAAGCCAAGATGCAAAGACCATAGAGTTTCACTGCTTTTGAGTGGCCCTTGGCAAGGAAGGTGACAGAGCTCCCCTGTCTTTTAGGCCTACTCTGTAATGCTGAAAAGAATTCTTGGTTCAGATGGTCTAATAACTACTGTGATTTGGTCTTTCTCAGTCACCACGGGGGCCATGCTGGGAATTAATGGAGCAATGGAACTGCTTTTCAAGGTCATCACCCCTTATACCCAGAAGCGCACCCGAGTAATCAGGTAGGGGCACTTTTGTAGTGCTTTTCCCCCTCTTTATAATAGATGCAGAGATGGAGAAGGCCTCATGTGTATTCTCACGGTGCTTCCAGTTGAGGTGAGTGATGGCTACCCTCTTGTAGATATGGTGCAATAACTATCCTGCTTCAATGGGCATCCCTCCCCACCCATGCATCGTTTCCTCTAATCCTCACAATGACCCTGAAGGGGTATATTATTATCCTCATTTTCAGATGAGGAAACCATGGGGAGAGAGCCTTATCTAAAGGTCACAATACTAAGAAATGGCAGAGCTTGAACCCAGATCTTTCTGACTCAAAAGCCCATGTTTTTTGCCTGGATCCTTCAGGTAGAAGGTGACAGGCAGAGGTGACGCTCCTCAGGGCATCTCTAGAGTCGGCCACTTAAATTTCTGATATGAGATCCAGGCCTTAGCATAGTCCATCATGGGTGAATGTTGGTTTTGAGATGTACTTTTATGATTGGAAAATGAAACTCAGCCCACTCTCTCTGGCCCTGCTTGCTGGAGTGGCATGAATCACAAACTTAAAAAGGGAGAGATGGTTAGACACGAGGAGATATTCGGAACCATTAAGATCTATCATTTATGAGAGTGACTCAGCAAGGACCTTGAAAGAATATTAGAAAGAATTCAGCCAATTTCTGAGATATATGTGGTCGTTTGGCAAAGTAGCATTTCCATGCCCAGCCATGAGATTTTTCTGCATCTCAGCATCCATCTTAGGCTCTTGTTCCACCTGACTATTTTTCTCTTGGGTCACCACTGTAATGCCATTCTCATCCATCCTCACCTGTGGCTCTCCACACCAGCATTTCCCAGAGTGAAATACATTTTGTTTCAGTAAAAAAATGTCCTCATCAAATATATCGAGAAGTACGGGATTCGACCAAGTTATGCAGAGTCCTTTACAGTGACTTGTCCTAGCCTTTGTGAAGCCCGAACACATCCAGAATAGCCAGGATGGGTCCATAGTACACTGTGTCCTAGACCCGATTTGGCCAGGGAATGGGTCTTGTTTGAAGACCACCATTTTGGGGGGAGTCAGTGTCCTATGTACCTTACTTTAGAAACATCTGGAGAGCAAGTGTTCTGCCAAGGGGAAGTCAATTCAATTCTATCAAGGGATCCTCAGTGAGTAATACAGAACTTCAGAATCACCAACTCAGGGACCAAAAAAGATGAGCTTTCCGGATTTTTTCTGTAATTGTACATTAGTTCCTCTTAAACTTCCATTTACGTCCATTTGGATATGTATGATTTAGGTACGCGTGGTGTTTCTCGTGCTGTGTGGGCCTTTGCTGCTGACATCTGCGGTCTCAATATGTCCTTTGGTCACCAGTCTGTGAACTTTTATCTTTTTCCTGTCTCGACAAGACCGCCTCTAATCTGGCAGTGTTTCCATTCATCCGTTTGGCAGCTCAGGAGTATGTGGTTGCCTCCCTGACACTATGTGAATATCGGTGTGATGTCTGCCGGGCCGACCCACATAGGAGTCTCACCCACTTATCTCTTCTTGCCATGAGGTGCCATGCTATTTGGAAGGCTTCCTAGAGAACCTTGGCACTAGACTTCTCCCTTCTGGGCCACTCATAGCTTTTATTGTCTTCCTTGTTCAGGCCGAGCTGGGGCAGAGTAAGCAACAAGGCACAGAAGTCCCCTTCTCAGAGACTCACGTCAGGTTGCTATGTCTCTTGTTCTTCTGCTGCAGAGTGAGTGGAATTCAGGCACAGATCTGATCAGGGTGCCATGGGAAAAACCACGGATTCATGGCGGGGGGTGGAATGTTTGAAATGACAGAAGGAACCTTTCGGGGACCTCAGGCTGATTTCTGCATTTCTGGTCTTTTCTATAAAATGTGGGCAAGATGATTTCCCCTTCTTGAGCCCAACGCCCATCTAAAACCAGTTCTCCATAGAGAAGGAGTTTCTTTACCAACCACTACCATGTGGCCATCATGGCCATGGCCTTCATGCTGTGCCCTGCCCTGTCCTGAGCTCTTAGCAGGCATTTATCCCATCTGATTCTTTCCTCTTCTCTGCAAGGCAGGTGCTATTACTGTCCCCAATTTTACAAGGGAAAAAATGGAAGCTGAAAGAAGTAAGTGATTTGCTGGGATTTAAGTGGAAGAGCTGGGACTTAAGCCCTGTCTGATACATGAGCTTTAGCTCTTAAAGCACCACTGGAGTGTCTTACACGGTTTGTTTCCAGCATTTTATTTCTAAACCACCATATGTAAGATGATCGTAAGCACTTAAAGTTTGTTTAAATTTTTGTTGCCGTCTAAATGGCTCATACTCGTGGAACAATTTGCTTAATGATAGGGGAGTCTTTCTCCTCAATAGAATGGCTATTTCCTCTCAAAGGCTAAATGATTATCTGCTCCCTCCATGTTTGGATTCTTTCCCACAGCTGCCTTATTTTCTGTCTTACTCCCAGCACCCCCCCCCCCATAGCTAGGTAAGGACAAAGACACTGAAATCTGAAGACCAGCATTGTAGCCCTCTTTCTAGTAGATTCTATGGTGGCTCATTTAACCTTTCTTCAGCAAGCTTTCACGTTCCTTGGAGTGTGAATGTCAAGTCCTACCTCCTGGGTTTGTGGTGGACATTAAGAAATAATGTATAAAAATCTCATGAGCTTTGATGTGGCATAATACTGTTAACCGTTATTAATACAAATACCACTGGATACTTGGCTGGCTGCTTCAGATCAGACAGCAGAGCCAGAGGACAGCATGCAGATGGGACGTTTCTGCCACTACTCACTTCTTCCATGAACTCCATCCCCCCAAAATAGTAACTCAGATGTACCCAATGAGTTCTGTTCAACTCCACCTGGATGCCAGAATCTGGGTTTGAAGGGGTCTTCCAGGAAGGGGATGAAGTACCACATCAAAGGACGTGAATAGCCCTACTGAGTGTCATCCTCCAAATGCTAGCAAGCTAGGGGCGAGATGTTCTTGGATGCTTTTGTGGGAGCAGATGCCTGGGGCTGTCAGTTTGACTCCTCCCTGCCCTGCCTGACTTCTCCAGCATAAACCTAAAATTAGCGGTGCAGCTGTCCTTCAGTGAAGCCCTGTCTCCAGATAGTACTCAGGGCGAGATTTATAACCGAAGCACTAAGCACACACCTTCTAGAGAGAAGGGGCATGCAGAGCAGTGCTCCTAGCCCTCTGTGGCCCTGTGCCCATTCTCACTCCCAGTGGAGGCGGCTGTTCCTGGCCTGGCCTTCCTCCCTTCTCAAATAACCACCATGCTGCCATGGTCCCCCTGCCATATGTTTGTGTTGGCTTATGTCTCTTCCCTCATGACCATCACCCTGGCCGGAGCACTGTTTGCTCCTACAGCCCTCTGCTTGGTCGTCCCTGATTTGAAAGCGATGAAGCACCCGTCCCAATCTCCATTCCATCCTTGGGTTCGTCCTCTCCTCTCTCTTCTCAGCCTACTCCCTCCACATATGGCATGCGCTGTCCTGTCCCGGGCCTCCACTCAGAGCTTCCCCTGGCCTGTAATGGTGCTGTTGCCTTATTGAACGGTAGAGATTCTCCCCATGCTCCAGGCCCCGCCTGCTGCAGCTCACCAGGCAGGAGGCATCTTCTCCCTCAGTGCTTCTCTAGCATTTTGTTCATATTTTCATAATATATACCAGATTTAACTCCGTTCTGTGTTGGACTGTGTGTCCTCTCTTCTTTCTAAACTCTAAACTCCTTAAAGGCAGAATTCACATTATATTTACCTTGCTGTTATTCTCCATAGGACCTATCCAAGTGCCTGGACAATGGGAGACTGTTAATTCAATTCAAAAACAATTTCTTCTTCAGGGGCACCTGGGTGGCTCAGTCAGTTAAGCATCTGCCTTTCGCTCAGGTCATGATCCCGGGGTCCTGGGATCGAGCCCCCCTTGGGACTCCCTGCTCAGCGGGAAGCCTGCGTCTCCCTCTGCCTGCCGCTCCTTCTGCTTGGGCTCTCTCTCTCTCTTTGTCAAATAAATAAATAAATAAAATCTTTAAAAAAGATGTCTTCAATTAAAAAAAAAGTTTTTGTGAATAACCTAATGATGAATAAAAGCCAACATTTAGTTGGCTTTTTAGTCAGTATGCATTATAGTAAACACTTCATATTTATGAACCCATTCTTCCTTGATCCCAAGCTGGCTCCACATGCATGGTTCTCTCATGTCTAAACATGCCTGGGACATGACATGGCAGGCCTCCAAGAACGCCGTCATGTGAGGGACTGAGGTGCCTTCTGGGAAAGAACTCATTCTAGGAGAGTGAGAAGCAGAGTCCATCTGCTTGAAAGAGAACACAATATCACTCACTACAGGGGAGGAAAAACTTGTGAGTCTTCTCTCTCTTCCTTACAGTTGTCTGGGGAACTGACCTAGTCTGGCAGAAGGGAAAGATCTGAGTTTGAGGGGACGCCAAGGGGCAGCATTCACGTTAAAACTTTGCTTAGTTTTTGAGATAGGTTTCCAGGATTTGGTTTGTTGATTGATACAGCTGGGGCTTTAGAATTTATGGGGGAGCTTTTTATAGCAATGGGAGGGGGGAGGAAATGACACTGGGCCAGGGTGAGCTGGCTCTTGCTAACTTGTTCTACTGTGGACAGGTTTGTTTATCTGCACCAAAGCTGTCTTTGCGCTGTCCAGATTCACTAAGTAGGAAAATTTATTGAGGTGAAGAAGGATTGATTGTGACTGAATCATCTTGTGACCTTAGAGAAGCTTGTGTTTGTTCCAGAAGCAGACGCTTTCTGCTAGGAGCTGTGCCTCCCTTGCTCCTTCATTTCCAGAATGGACTTGAGGGTTTTGGTAATAATAATGGCCATTTTCACTGCTCATTCACTTGACCATTTCCAAAGCATGGCCACATCCCCTCTGATCCTAGGATTGTCACACTGTAATATTTAACCCAAGCTTTGAAGCTGAGTTACCAGCTCCTATCATCAGTATACCACCCAGGTCTATAAACTCTACCAGC